ACTTGAGAGCTCTGTTCGATTAAAGGAAATTTGTTTGTTAATGTGGCTTAAGGTTAACATTTTTATTATGAGATTCTGATCACCTAATATTACAGTTTAACTTTGCTTCTAATTACAGTCAATTCAATCAAATATAACTTATTCTGGGTGACTTTTATGAAATATTCACACAATACCATGTATAAAGTACAATAGACTAATCAAAGTTCGTAAAGCAGATGAGCACATCCCACACAGCCAAACACGCTCCAGTCACATAAATGACATGAAGTCCCAATTTCACCCTTGAACCACACTTGAACCACCTAAGCAGACTTACTCAAAGTTCACTGCCTGGCCAAAGGAAAAGTCACCATCAAGACCAAAAAGAGAGGTCATAGAATTTGTCTTCATAATCCTCTGCAATGTCACAAGATTTATTTTCACCCAGTTTGCATTAAAATTTCCCTAAGATCTTGCACTTGATCATTGCACAAAACCTTCTCAAGCACATCCCAAAGAGTCTCAATGAAGTTAAGGTCTAGACTCTGCCATGTCTGATTAATGTGTGAGAATCCTGCTCCCTGAAACCCTCTTTCACAATTCAAGCTGATGCCATCACCTAGGGACATGACAATGTCACCGGGCTACTATGAACTCATGCTTAGAACAATGGCTAGATGCTTAGAACAGATCAGTACAAAGATGTGACATAATTTTCTCCAACTGAATATAAAAAAAACTGAGGTAATAAACTTCACACCAAAGGTGGAGAGATCCAGATCACAGCTTCGGTTACTACAGCTAGAAACCAGTGATTATGGCTGAAATATCGGTATCATGATGGACTCAGACCTGAACCGTCCGAGGCACATAAAGGCAGTTACTAAATCAGCCTCATCACCCAAAGAACATTTCCAGGGTGTCCAAGCGAGAACTAGCAAACCTAATTTGAGCATTTATCTTGAGAAGACCACGTCTTCTCAAGATAAATGTGAGTACACAGTTATAAGGACAAAACTGTGTCCTTATAAGTTTGCCAAAAATAAAGTCCATCGGAAACCTGCAGCTGATCCAAAACTCTGCTGCCCTTGTTCTCACTAGAACTAAGAAAGTAGAACACATCAGCCAATCTAAAGTTCTTACACTGGTTCCCTGTAGCTAGAGGTTTAAAGTAACAAAGTACAAATACTTTGTTACCTTACTTAAGTATAAATTTTGGCAATCTATACTTCAATGGAGTAATCATGTTTAGACAAATTTTTTATTCTCCTTACATTTATTTGAAATTATCTCTCCTTTCTACTTCTTACATTTTCATAATAGGCTCATTAGTTTTTTTATTTAAGCTTCATTTTCGTTATGGTCTGTTGGTATTGGACTTGGTCACTGTGCCACATTGTTGTTACCAAAATAAACAGCTTTTCAAAGGGTAGTTAGTGAGTTATAAAAGTTATAAAATAAGAAATTTAATTATGAGGAAGGGTAGTTCAGTCCTTCATTTTCGTTATGGTCTGTTGGTATTGGACTTGGTCACTGTGCCACATTGTTGTTACCAAAATAAACAGCTTTTCAAAGGGTAGTTAGTTAGTTATAAAAGTTATAAAATAAGAAATTTAATTATGAGGAAGGGTAGTTCAGTCCTTGACGTTTTTTTACTGCATTACTTTTGCTTTTATACTTTAAGTACTTTTAAAAATTTTACTTTTACACTTTTACCTGAGTAAAAAGCTTTATTTGATTCTCTAACTTCTACAAAAGTGTTTTTAAACAGTAGGATTTATACTTCTACTTGATAAGAAACATTAATAATTTTGACACCTCTGCCTGTAGCTCAGAAAATAGACTTAAAAATCCTTCTGTTGGTATATAAATCATTGAATGGGTCAGCACTTAAATACATAACTAATTTGTTGTCAATGTATGCATGTAATGTAGTTCTGTACACCCAGAACTAGAATTAAACAAGCGAGAAGCAGCATTCAGTTCCTGCTCAGATCAGTATATTTAGGTAATCAGCAATCATACTGTTGCTGAACTTAATCTCAACCAACTACAGAAACCCCAAATCATAGCGCTGTCCCTATACGTAGGCTTGTACAATAGGCATCAGGCCTATTGTACAAGCTTCTTACACTAATGCACCCATCACTCAGGAACAGCGTAAATCTGGACTCATCAGACCATGTGACTAGGGCTGCCACAACGAATCGATAAAATCGATAAAAATCGACTTTTAAAAGCGTTGGCAACGAATTTAATCATCGATTAGTTGTGTCGCGCGATTAATGCGTCATCCGCCGCCGCCCTCATACCGGGGAAGAAAAAAAAATATGGCGGAGCGAGTCAGCGCCGCAGTTGCAGTGTTGCCAACTCAGCGACTTTTCAGACCCCTCCGGCGACTATTTTTTTAAAAGGCGACTAGCGACAAATCTGGCGACTTTTTTACTCCCCCATCCCAACGCCTTTCTCCCTCTCCCACAGGAATCCCTCTCAGCGCTGCAGTCCGAGCCGCAGGATTTTAGTGAGGAGTTTACCCTCAGCGTCCAGACTGCAAATGAAGCGCGCATGCCCCGGGATTGACGGCGCAAATTGATCACAATAATTAAAATAGCCTGCGCTTTGTAAAGTGAAAAAACTCGTAACATGCAACTTTTGTAAAAAACAAATGAACATGGCACGGAAGCACCACTGTTATGACGCAGCACCTGAAAAGAAAACACGTTGGAGCCTTCAATGGCAGTGAAGAGAGCTGATCAGCAGGATGAGTAACCATGTTTGTTTCATTTTAAAGTGGGGAAACGTAAGTTAGTTTCTCAGGTAGCTCATCTGATGCTTTCCTTAGCTTGTTAGTAGGTTACAGACAGTGATAAGGTTGGCTACTTATTTTACTTTTAATTTCATTTGAATTAGCTTAAGCAGCGTTTATATTTTCTTTATAAATAAATAAATTTGCAAATTATGAGGGCAAGGCTTTTAAAGTTTAAATCTTCTGGCAAAGATAAAGTAAAGAAGATCCTGCAATTTATGGAAGTAAAGCAGAATAAAATCCAGCAAGATCAGTAATATGTCAATTAATTATATGCCACATTCCCATGTAAATATCTGTCTTTGGAGGATGTGTTTTTTAGCACCCCTAGTTCTCTCATTTTTATTCCAAATACAATTTATAATTTGAATCACAGGGCTATTTTTATCTCTATGGTTCAGTATTTTCTCAAGTAGCAACTTTAACTGCTATACTTTCCAGTCTTAAAAGGCAGAACTCTTCTAGTCTAAAAAAAACTCATTTGTTGAAATGGGGGGCCTATTGTTTGAACCCCTTAGAGGCTTTTAAAAACAAAAATGTCTCTTTTTGCGCTTTATGAAACAAAGTACCCTATATTTTGTGGATGTACAGCTACATTTCTCATGTAGGTTTGCGTAGTTTTAAAACAAACATTTATTTTTCATATTGCACCAGTACAGTTAATGAGAAACCTGTACTTGTGTGCTTGTTTGTTCCGTCTAAAATGTTTATTTTGAAATAAAGAGGTTAATATAAGAAAAAATATTTTGTGTCCGATTCATCGATTAATCGAAAAAATAATCGGCCGATTCATCGATTTTCAAAATAATCGTTAGTTGCAGCCCTACATGTGACCTTCTTCCATTGCTCCAGAGTCCAACCTGTATGCTCCTTAGCAAATGGAGGCCTTTATTTTTCCATTTAGCCTCATGATTAGAGGTTTTCTTAATGCTACACTGCTTTTGAGTCCCAACCTCTTAAGGTCCCTTTGCATTGTGCTTGTAGAAGAGCTCTTACTTTCAATATTAAGCCTTTCTCAGGATTCTACCCTTGTTTTCCTCAATTAGATTTCACCAAAACATTTAAGTGCTTGCTGATCACAATCGTTCTAGAATACTTTATAGGGCAACGTTTTTTCCTAAAACCCGATGGATCCTCCACTATTCTCCCAGTTTTTAATAATGCAATTGACAGTTCCATTACCTAATTTTGGAAGTTTCTACTTAGATATTTTTTTCTGCTTGATGTATCCCAAGGATTTACACTTCTGAAACAAACTGACATCTTTTCCACTACCATAGGATTTGTTGTTTGACACAGGCATGTAACAAATGAGAAGCAGACCATTGCACCAGTTGTGATTAAATAACTTGCTGCAATCTAAATCATAATTGGCCATTCATTTATCCAATATGAGGCTTGTACCCGTTTGCTCATGGATATTGGGGTCTATAGACCTGTTCCTACCTGGCTTGGAGGTTTACTCTACTTATTGGTCTGCATAGCTTGAATATATATATATAATTTTTTATTAGTTATTTTACTTCCTTCTAGTTTTTGTGAGTTGCGTTTGTGTTTCTACTGCAAATATGGCCATATTAAAAAATATATTATATCAAATATCAACAAACACTGAACAATGTTATTCACAGAAGTTGTGCATGCAAATCATACTGTAATATTTTTCTAGAAAATGTACATCATGATGAACTTAGATCCTATGAAATACTGTTTTCACTTTTGTGATAACTTGACCAAATCTTTAGGCATTTCAAAATCTCCATAACATGAATTAAAGGTCCACAGGTCTCAGTATAAATTTAAATCCAATATTCTCATATATCTCACTTTTTCTAAATTTGTCAATTTAAGGATACAAAAAAAAAAAAAAAAAAATATATATATATATATATATATATATATATATATATATATATATATATATATATATATATATATATATATATATATATATATATATATATATATATCATTAATAAGGTAATATATTACAAATAGCTGATATTAGATTTAAATCAGTAGACAATATAGATTGGAAAATTTAAGGATCATACAAGGTGCCAATTGAACATCATCACCAAAACTAAAGTTTCAAGGTCTGTCATGCTGATGTTGTCCATTAAAATGTGCAAAGATAAGGCTTTAAGGCAAACAATCCTAGGGACAGTTAGGATCAAGCTGAAATAAAGCATGTAACAATGGACAAACTCACCAGAACAATAACAGCAGCAGGACCAACGAAGGCATAAAGCAGGCCACCCTCCAAAGACAACCAGCAGCTTTAGAAAAACAAGGAAAGAAAGAACAAATTAGAATTAGAACAAAAAAATGATTAAACTTTAAACAGCAAATCTAATTTAATTAAATATAATTGTTGTAGGTGTCAAAATAGTGGACAATTCACTAGCATAAAAAAAAGAATATAACCAAAACTTTATTTACTGCAGGTTAATTTTCATCAAATAAAGATATGTTAATGCGAAAACAATAGACAAGCATTTGATTAAGTTCAATTTAATCAGAAGCAATCCGAAACAAACTGTGTGACTACTTGGTATGTAATCACTTTCCACCAGTCATGTTACTCAATAGCATGTTTATATCTAAGAGGAATTTAGAGAAATTGCGAAGAACGTAGTCACACAGATGTCTTTTACTTGTAGCTATTACTTATACATCCTCATATAAGGGTCAGGCATACCACTAGACAAAAGAATCCCAACATAATATCAACCCAAGGTTGCTGTATTTAAAGTTATCTGTATGGTTCCCTGGTTTTATAGACTTCTGTTAACTAATGTCACCAATAAACCTCCAAAGAGAAAGCAGAAACTATCTGTAGAATCAGTTAGAAAGTATTTTATCATTTAAGAGCAAATGCCTACTAACTGTGTTCTAGCCTTACTATCAGAGCAGGCCTTAATACTTTCTGTTTGAAAGATATTTCAGATAGAAAGGTTGTTATTTTGAAATAATGTTCAGCATGATTTTCGTCACAAATAACCATGAACTTTATTTGAATTAACATTCAATACAAAGTTGGAACTGTCATAAAGGTTTTTTAACATTTCATTCAAATGAATCACTGTGACCTCTTCCTTTTATTAAAGTAAATATAATACAGTATTAGAGAGAGAGATCCACTGCTTTGCAAGCATAGGAATGACAGGCTGTTTGAGGCACGCAGAACTGCGGCCCCTCCCCACCACCAACGTATGCCATTTGCTACTGGTCTGGTAGTCATAACAGGGCTATTAAATTTCTTTTTTACAAATAAGGAAAAATAAGGCTGTTTAGAGACATTAACATAATTATGTTTACAATGAGTTTTAGTTTAAAAACTAAATATGTCTGGCTACTTTAGGCAGGACCATGACTTATAAAAACTGGAAAGCAGAACTCCACCTAATACGAAAGAACTATGGCAGGCCGTTTAAGGAAACAGCTGTCATATAGGTGATGGAGGGAGGCAATGCTTAATTGCAATCATAAAGCTTTACATATTGCATGTAAATGACAATAAACACATCGCTTTGAATGCATATTTGTTTTTTACTGCACAATTTTCATCTTTTCGGGGGTAAACTCTCTTAAAACAGCACTCAGGGATGCTTTACTCTCTAAAATTTAATAATTTAGTCATAAATACTGCAAAGTACAGAGAGATACTTAAAACTTGAATTTCTTAAGTGTTCTAATGATGCCTCCTCTTAATTGCCTTGAAAGTATATTGTCCTCTACACCAAATAAATTTAGAGCTGTTATGTAAAGCAAGTCGATTGAGGAAAAAATAGCAACTGTGTATATATTAAAATATCACATTAAATTAGATTTATTTTCAATAGCAGACACTGGTGAAACCCAGCAGACTGATTATCACCTCGGAGTAGTACTTTTCAAAAGATTATTTGGCTTGCAAACATCAAGGAAACAGTGGAACTCCCAGAGCAAGCCCAGTAAATACTAATAGACCACAGACCAATTTAAGAGCAAATGAAAAGAAGCTGCTGTTATTAAGTGATGGGCTCCAAATTGAGTGGTGATTAAAGTGCAAGTGCAAGAAGGAACTCACTAGCTGGCTGTGCCATAACCTCTGGCTCTGGTGAAACCCACTGACACGGCAACAACAAGGGCTGGAAGACCTGTGGAAAAAACACAAGCGCACACACACAAAGAGAAAAGATCAAACGGGTGAGACAAGGGATGAAAGGAAGCACGGTTGATGATGATGGACATGTTGGCAAAGCTTAGACTTTACCTACCTAAATGCAAGGCTTCACTGCAATGGCATGTACCACATGCAAACATAACTGAAACATCCTTCAAAGATACCAGTATTAATGTAAATGTGTTTACCAATACTAAAGTGGCGTACAATCCTTGATATTTTATTGCATTTTATCACTATCAAATAGTTTCACTGAGATCTTAGGGATAAATCCTCCAGAGTAGCGTGCAGCTGTAATACAGAAGAAAATTTTACGAGGTTTTAAAAAATTGGTTTTAAATTATATGTGTGCATGGTCAAAACATTGTGAATTAATTAGCTGGATAAAGTGTTGAATATATCATGCAGCAATCTATCGGTCTGTCTATCTATCTATCTATCTTTCTATATATCTTTCTCTCTCTGCAAATGAAAAGGAAGCATGACTGCTGCAGATTGCCTTCGTGAAAAAGAAGGAAAATCGCGGCACCCTATAATGAGTTTGGCTCTGAAAGATTCTTGTAATTAACAAAGCTGTGATTATGGCTGGTAATGAAAAGCAATTAGAAAAAGTCACATTAACTTTAACAAATAAGATGGTTAAGAGCCAAGCCTGTCCACCAAGCTGCCTGTGTCGAGTCTCAGTTAGTCAACAACATACAGGTGCTGGTCATAAAATTAGAATATCATGAAAAAGTAGATTGATTTCAGTAATTCCATTTAAAAAGTGAAACTTGTATATTATATTCATACATTACATACAAACTCATATATTTCAGATGTTTATTTTGTTTAATTTTGATGATTACAAATGACAACAAATGAAAATCTCAAATTCATCATATCAGAAAATTAGAATATTGTGAAAAGGTTCAAAATTGATGGCCCTGGTGCCACACTCTAATCAGCTAATTAACTCAAACCACCTGCAAAAGCCTTTAAATGGTCTTTCAGTCTAGTTCTATAGGCTACACAATCATGGGGAAGACTGCTGACTTGACAGTTGTCCAAAAGACGACCATCGACACCTTGCACAAGGAGGGCAAGACACAAAAGGTCATCGCTAAAGAGGCTGGCTGTTCACAGAGCTCAGTGTCCAAGCACATTAATAGAGAGGCGAAGGGAAGGAAAAGATGTGGTCGAAAAAAGTGTACAAGCAAGAGAGATAACCGCACCCTGGAGAGGATTGTGAAACAAAACCCCTTCAAAAATGTGGGGGAGATTCACAAAGAGTGGACTGCAGCTGGAGTGAGTGCTTCAAGAACCACCACACACAGACGTATGAAAGACATGGGTTTCTGCTGTCGCATTCCTTGTGTCAAGCCACTCTTGAACCACAGACAGCGTCAGAAGCGTCTTGCCTGGGCTAAAGAGAAACAGGACTGGACTGCTGGTGAGTGGTCCAAAGTCATGTTCTCTGATGAAAGTAAATTTTGCATTTCCTTTGGAAATCAAGGTCCCAGAGTCTGGAGGAAAAGAAGAGAGGCACTTCATCCACGTTGCTTGAAGTCCAGTGTAAAGTTTCCACAGTCAGTGATGGTTTGGGGTGCCATGTCATCTGCTGGTGTTGGTCCATTGTGTTTTCTGAGGTCCAGGGTCAACGCAGCCACATACCAGGAAGTTTTAGAGCACTTCATGCTTCCTGCAGCTGACCAACTTTTTGGAGATGCAGATTTCATTTTCCAACAGGACTTGGCACCTGCACACAGTGCCAAAGCTACCAGTACCTGGTTGAAGGACCATGGTATCCCTGTTCTTAATTGGCCAGCAAACTCTCCTGACCTTAACCCCATAGAAAATCTATGGGGTATTGTGAAGAAGAAGATGCAATACACCAGACCCAACAATTCAGAAGAGCTAAAAGCCACTATTAGAGCAACCTGGGCTATCATAACACCTGAGCAGTGCCACAGACTGATCGACTCCATGCCACGCCGCATTGCTGCAGTAATACAGGCCAAAGGAGGCCCAACTAAATACTGAGTGCTGTACATGCTCATACTTTTCATGTTCATACTTTTCAGTTGGCCAACATTTCTATAAATCCTTTGTTTTTATTGGTCTTCAGTAATATTCTAATTTTCTGATATGATGAATTTGAGATTTTCATTTGTTGTCATTTGTAATCATCAAAATTAAACAAAATAAACATCTGAAATATATGAGTTTGTATGTAATGTATGAATATAATATACAAGTTTCACTTTTTAAATGGAATTACTGAAATCAATCTACTTTTTCATGATATTCTAATTTTATGACCAGCACCTGTAAATCTTGCATTTACCTGCATAATATGGTGAAAACACACAAACACACTTATGCACATACATATCTGGCTCTGACCCAAATCCAGATAACCTAAGTTCCCTTGTCGCCTTGGCAAAAGATTTCAATCACATAATTTGCTGGGAAAATTGCAAAACGGATGTAACGAGGGTACAACGTTTGATCCTCTCTGCTCGGCCCAACTGTTTCCTATGTTTAATGTGCATGTGTGAGTGTATCAGATAAATGTGCAACAGCCAACACACACCCTCTCCCTCTCTATGTCAGTATCTCACCATCTGTGACTGTAGAGAAGTCTATACATTCTCTGTCTCTATCAGGTAAGGGCATCAGTGACTTGGCAGATTAGACTGCTTGGATCAATACTGAGTGAAATGAGCAGATTGTGTTTGTGTGTTTGTAGGGATGGTGTAGTGTTGTAATTTCCAAAGCTATCTTGAAGCATCTCCCTGTGTTGTGCAGTTGTTATCATATCTTTTGATTATACACCTAACATTCCACGTCCATGTTGCATCAGGTTGTACAACATTGAGGAGACGGCATGATGGAGGAACATGTAGGCTGAATGGAATAGGTGGTGTAGAGCTGAATAGCACATAGTGCACTCTGGGTGTGTGTTAAGCGGTTTGTCCCTGGATGTGTGTGGATGAGGAAACAGCATTAGAAAGTGTAAATATGGCTTTTGGGATATGAAGCGGTAAATAATTGCTTATAGAGCTGACAAATGGTATATAATGAGAATGCAGGAAATGAAGATTGTTAAGCATAATACAGGCAACAATTTCAACACTGCAAGATAATAAGTGGTTACATTTCCATTCTTAAACAAGCCGGTCTCGCTGCCCTCTATCTCTAATGCACCTCACGTAACACTTCTTCAATCAGGATTCAATTCAGAAAACTGTAATTATTTGCAGTGGGACTCAGGGGCAGGATAAAATTCCACAAAGAGTTACAAAAGAAAGTTTTGTTACTTGCAGCTGTCTGTAGTGAATTAAGGGTAGAGTATGTTCTTGAATAATGTAGCCTTGCTTAGCATTGTAAAACTGCTTGGTTTAGTTAAGTACCAAATCCTATTTCAGAAAGGGAGACAGGGAAAAAAATAAAAATAAATAATAAACAATAAAAAAAAAACAGCTCTTCACATTACAAGTTTAGTCTAATTCCAAAAGTTGACAGATTTTATAAGAAACATATTTAAATAAATAAACAGGCTTAAATCTGTGAAGAAATAAAAGAACAAGCAAAAACATAAATACATAAATGGATAAAATAGCCTGTTACTAAAACATAAAAGGACTTTTATATTATTAAAAAAAAATGATACGTAAGCTTGAATCCCAAATAATTTTATGTCACTAAGAGCTGGTTGGCTTTTAGGAGGGAGTGCAGGAATATCCCACTTTCAACTACTGTTTAAATATCTTTTTCACAACCTTTAATTTATGTCAAATTTTCCTTTTTTACAAGACTTTAAAATATTAATATAAAATAGTTTTGGGGTTTTATGCAGGACATTTCAGCTGTAGGCTTGCTTTAAAGGAATAGTACACCCAAAACATGATTAGCCTTCATTTTCTACTCACCCCCATGCTGAACAACACTCTGGAGTACTTTTTTGATATCTCAAATGCATCTGGAGATCTGGGAGGCTTCTTGCTGTCTGCTGACATTCAAATAATGGAGGTCTATGGTGACCGAGACAGAAAGGTCCATAAAAGTCCACAAAAAACGTGTCAATATTCCTCCATACTGCTCGTCCAATGTATTCCAAGTGTCCTGAGTGGGTAGCATCCAGAATTTACTCGAAACGAAGTCATTTAGAATGTTTTTAGAGCATAAACAGTAGTGTATAGGATTTCCTGAAAGCGCGCACACGCGCGCTCACGACGCTACGGAAGCCGGCAGACCAAACCAGCGCATTCAGCTCGGCAAAGAACTCATGCTCTTCCTCAACACTGAAGTCCTCAGATATTTTTCTTTCGTTGTTTCTTTCTTTGCACAGGTAAACAACACATTTCTTCTTCTACGCTTGCATTATTGGAAGAGCAGACGCTGAATGCGTACTTTCATCTGGTTTGATCTGCCGGCTTCTGTAGCGTCGTGAGCGCGCGTGTGCGCGCTTTCAGGAAATCCTATACACTACTGTTTATGCTCTAAAAACATTCTAAATGACTTCGTTTCGAGTAAATTCTGGATGCTACCCACTCAGGACACTTGGGATACATTGGACGAGCAGTATGGAGGAATATTGACACGTTTTTTGTGGACTTTTATGGACCTTTCTGCCTCGAGCGCCGTAGACCTCCATTATTTGAATGTCAGCAGACAGCAAGAAGCCTCCCAGATCTCCAGATGCATTTGAGATATCAAAAAAGTACTCCAGAGTGTTGTTCAGCATGGGGGTGAGTAGAAAATGAAGGCTAATCATGTTTGAGTGTACTATTCCTTTAAGGGTAGAGTGGATAAACTTATTTCGGCACTCATCTGTTGGTGTCCAACATGCCAATCTTTGTGCTGGTTTTTCTTTTGCTGTTCATGCGTACTTTTAGTGTTAATGTATTCAGTGAGCTTTGATTTCAGCCATTCATTGTAGCCTTACTGTTCTTAAAATATATACCAAATTTTTTAGACTACAGACTCACCGTAAGCTGCGACCATTCATTTCTTGAATAAACTGGAAGCTTACATATATAAGCTGTACTGGGCTATAAGCCGCTGATATCTACCGAACTGTCTTCCCCCAAAGAAGCTAATTAAAAGATATATATGTATATGTCTCACCGTTTAATTTAATTTTTACCTACATTTATTTGTTTATTGTATTTTTTGGGGGCAATTAATTGTAAGCTTATTTATTGTTGGAGCAATTATTTATTTCTGTATTTATTTTTAATTATGACAGGATTGTTCCTCCATAGGGCACAGCATATTGGCTGATATCCGATACCGATCCAAGTCAACTGTTGAATGGATGAACTATATATCCTGCCATGTGAGTGGAAGATTTAGCCTTGGTATAAACAGAAAAATTGTTATAAATTAAAATAGATATAAATTCATTTTATGTTATTTATGGATAAATAAGCAGCAAAAAGAAAGAAATGTTCACAGGATTGGATTTCCGATACCTGACCCATCTAAATAGTCAATATCAGAGTCAATATCCGATCCAGGTATCGGATCAGTGCTTCGCTATTATAAAGTTGATAGAGAAAACATCAAAGCATTACACTTAAGGCAAATAACTGACTGGGGTTGGCCATATACAAATACACAATGCACTAATTTGTGTTACTCTGGTCCCTCATATACAGTTAAAGTTTGTAGTTGTAGACTGACAAAACAGTAAAAGAGTGATATAACCAATTTTCTTAATTTCCATAACAAATACATTTTGACAAAAGTTGGTCATACTTATTAATGTCTAGAAACTACTAAAATCGGTTGTATGCAATTCCAGGCATCTAAATAACACTTACTATAGTTTTAATTCAAGCATGATTTGAAACAGATACAAAAAAGATAATCATAAGTGTTAAAATTATTGTCTATATGTACAAAATATGGACAGTTAGAGAAAATGTGCTTTAACCTGGATTAGTACATGGGTTGAATATACGGTGAGAGATATTTTAGTTGTTCAGCTAAACAAACCAATTGCACAGCAAAAACTGATCTAAAAATAAGGTAACATTTCTCAAGATCCATTTATTTACCCTTGGTTTGAGGAGATAAATGAAGAAATCTGCCAACTGAATGGGTATTTTTGCCCTTAAATAAGACTATTACATATTATCGAGTTGTTTTTATCTTATTTGAAAAGTAACCCTCGTCCATTGGCAAATTGGCCGATAAACTGCTCAAATCAAGAAAATATACTTATTTGAAGGGAAATTGAGTTAATTACGTTTATTACTTTTCTGTAGTTTGGAAACAAGCAAGCAGAGGCTTATTTATACATAGCTTTTCTATAGATAAGCACCTTTTTTCAGGAATGAACAATTTTGTTTTCTCTTTTGCAAATTCAAATACTTCTTACCACTGTCCCTTTGAATAATTTTGTTTTATTTTTCCTCTTTGCTCTGGATCAAGCACAATCAGAGAAGCACTCGATTAACATTCTAGTGGCTGCAATGACTTTCTATTCACATACAAATTACATGCAAATACATCCACGGGAACAACGGTTACCCTCTAAAACCTTTTCAACACACGTGTATCTGCTTGTGAGCATGCTGTCAGATCAAAGCTTTAGATAAAGAAGGGTTTTTCAAGGTCATTTAGGTTGTTTCTTAAAAAAAATGGCTTTGCCCATCTACTAACCAGGTAGCAGCAAGATTTTTCCATTACTATACAAGTTCTGAAATATTCTAAAAAAAAAATCTGTCAAAGTATATCAACCTTTAGGCACAACTTTGACACATCAGAGGGAAATGTTTAGAAATAGGTTAGGTTATTTAAATTGAAGACTACCAATTTAAACAGATTGCCATATATACGGCAGTCAGTTTAAAAAACTGTGTCAGAGCTGGTTTCTGTCTCCAACTTGAGTGACGGCATAAACATTATGGTAAATCATAACCCTAAACAAGGTTTTGAGGCGATCTTATGTGAAACGTTTGCATGAGTGTGCTTACCCCAGCCGAGGCACAGAAAACGCTTGCGAATAATGCGCGACCTTGTTTTGCCGATGACGGCCAAGTAGGACTGCCATGCCTCAGTCAGTACCCAGCAAAAGGATGCCAAGAAGAAGAAGTGCAGGAAAGCAGCAGTCACAGTACAAAGCCCCTGTATGAATAGAGAGGTAGGTAAGAACTTAAAACGCACAGGCAAAGATACCTTTGAAAAAAGCAAAATAGAAACACAGAGGGGACAAATAAGGGGATTAAATAAAGAAAATACAAGTTAGTCTTCAACGTTGAACAAAATAGTGCTTAATCAAAAAAGGCATTCTAATCCCGTAATGTCTTTGTTCTTTAATGGTAAAGGTGGTTTTCAGTGCAATCGATAATGAATGCCACACAGTGCAGGCTTGTTTAGCCAGACAGCTTGCCAAGCATGACAGCATGCTTTAAACATTCACTATAGCCTTATATCTTGCATTTTTTCACTTTTTCTTTTATGCAGTATAGATTTATTTTAGAATAACAACCATCATTAATAAAATCAGTATCAAAAACAATGTTCTAAATATGTGCACTTGGATTTACTTCACCTTGTTGAGTGTTTGAGATTGTCCTAGCAGAATCAACAAATTGGAGGCCAGGATTGAGAAGCAAAAGTTGACCAAGATGATCGATCTCTCTGACCGGATGTACCTAAGGAGGAGAAGATTATAAACATTTAGAAAGTCACATTTAGAGCCTTATAGACCTTATCGACTGCTTAGTCATCAGCTTGATCTTGGCTCCAGAGTGTAGCTAAGAGAAAAAAATAGAATGAAAAGAGGAGAAAATGAATCACCTCATCCCCTTCCTCTAACCAAACTGTTCTGTTCTTTATTAAGCCTCATTGCCTTCTTTGTCGCTACAGTTGACAGACACAAATTAGGCTATTTTCAATTTGCATTGGCAGAAGCGTGGAAATTAGTATTGCACGCAGACGGGATGTAAAACTGCAGATACCAGGTTTACACTATTAGATATGTTTGCATGTAGTCACCTCCAGAAGGCAGCATAGATTAGCAGCAGGATGAGGAGAGCGGTGCAGGAGACCCCACAGCCCACCATAAGGGGCACAGAGGGCATGCTGGCAGGACCCATGTCCTAAAACACAAGACAGAAGAGATAGGGAGTCAATTTTTGTATGTTCTCGAACAAAGATAAAAGGCAAAGCTCATTTTTAAAAGTGCAGTCGCAATGAGTTAATATATCATTGTAAGGTTAATTTCTTTCCACACAGTCATTCAGAACATTAAACTCAAATATTCATATCATATTTATGATGCATTCCAAGCTTTTGGTTATGTTGATGATAAGGAGCCAGACGATCAAAACCCAACAAAATATTCTCTATAGGTTTAGGTCAGGTCAGCATGTTGCTCACTTAAATATGTTTAGACAGTAAAGTCAATAAACTAGGTTTTATTCCTTTTGATAGAGTGGGAGATCTTAAAAACATAGGACTCTGGACCTCTGCAAGTATTTACTTTTCCTTGGACCTGGTAAGATACTTGTCATGTTGTCATGGGATCAGATAAGGCTTAAAACATTGGTCATTTGTGACCAATGTCGTGGAAAGCTCTGCTTATGGTTGCTTTTTACAACAAAACTGACCAAAGCTTCAGTCCAACTCCTCTGTGCTATTAAATAGACTTTGCTTCCAAATATTCTCAAAACCTATTGTTATTGCTTGTACACGTTTTTACCCTTCTTATAGAAAGTGTCTAGAAAGTGACTGCTAGACAACTGTCAAATTAATGGTATTTCCAATGAATGAGTCTTTTGAATTGTTAACATTTTGTCATTGGCATAAACCAATAGTTTTTTCCAATGGATTTCTTTCAATATTTCATCTGAGTGAGATACGCTTATTTAACACCAACTAAAAAAGAAACCAAGTGCAGGATTAAAAGGTTGAGCCCTTTTATAATATAAGGTATTGTAATCCAACATTAAAGCATTTAAAATGACAAATTAGAAAGAGACAGTTTCTTGGCTACTAAAACACAAATTTGATAATAAATATTTTGTAATACAAAACCAAGCAAACAAAAAAAAGGTAGGAAAATTATTTCAAACAGAAAACCGAAGGAAATTTAACAAAGCACATAAAACTCTAAAAAATAATTTTAGATTATTTGAAGATACAAGATTCAAAAGCATAAAAAAAAGAGACGCAGACAGATCTGGCATTAGACCTAACGATCAGACCTAAGCCTTGTATGCCTCGCAATATAGAATTGAACCCCTCAATAAAACATACATAATCTTGAGCTTATGGCTGACTTTATGAGTTTGATGTTTTTTTTTTGTTTGTTTGTTTTTTTTTTTTTATTAGCTCATAACAGAAAAAAATGTCAAAAAAGAAGGTAAAGAATATTGGTAAGAAGTGTTTTTGATTGCAATGCCGAACAAGTTCTACTACACAGGGATTTTGAACCTAAACTACCTAAAAGGCAGATGGATGGACAGACAAGCGGACAGACAGACAGACTCCTGAACAAATTCGGTTTTAATCCCTTTAACAGCTCATGCAAATGACAGGATATTACCTTTAATTAGAAACATAAGAGTGGGTTACCGTGAATTAAATGGAATTGGCTAATGACATACAATTAGCTTCTCCAAGTTTTTTTTCTTTTGTTTATTTTGTTTTGTTTAAGTTCTAGAGCTCTACATCATATCCTATTGAAAATGGTTTGTGTCTATGAAGAGGCTTCCAGTGAAGACACCATAAGCTGTGTAAGACAATTTCACAATTATTTTTTTTTTTTTTGTGTTCTGGGATACAAAAAAAACAACAACTAAACATTCAGCAAAATAAAGCATTTCATAATGTACTGCTTAGCACACTTCCAATATCAAGATTTTCCTTTGAAAGGATAAAAAGAAAAAAACTAATAAAATAGACAAATGAAGCCAAGTGTAATTCCCATATCGTACTGAGATTATAATGGGCTTTGTGTTTCATTGTGCTTTCAAAATTGCAATCAAACAATTTACCTACACCCACAGCAATGGCTGAAGCGCTTTCTTTTATCCTCAAAATGTGGCGCAGCAATTAAGAAAACAGACAAAAATAACTAATACAGTGAATTTAAGTAATAATATAATTATGTAAGCCGGAGCATCATATAAGTAAAATTTGTGCTGGAATACTGTAAGTGCTTCTGCCCTCTTAAAGATGAGAACTGTTGCACTGAAAGGTATTACTGATGGAAGGAAAGGGAATTTTCTTGAATCATTCTTTTCTTAAGAAAAAAACAAGAATGCAACCTGAAAAGAATAACTAGTGAAGAAATTCACAGAGAGATGCAGCAGGAATAGTTAAGGACACGTACGTGAAAGGAAAGAGGAGAGCAGGGAGAAGGAAAAAGCAAGAGAAAGTCAAAGCTTCTCTTTCAGTGGATTTTCCCTGGCCTATCAAAGGAAGCCAGTTTCTCCAGAGGAAAGTGGAATAGGTTGGAATACCAATATGGCATACACACAGTAATACACAAGTGGGAGAAAGGAGGTGAAGCATAATCAAAAGAGTCTAAAGGAAAAAAAGCCACAAAAGAAATGAGGTGGGAGTTATATGAAATCATCTGCTCTGGGAAATTTGGAAGTTCTCTGGGTGAGGGAGAGACAACAGAGAAAAAATGTATTTGATACTGTGTAGAGAGGAAGGTCAAAGTGTTTAAAAAAAAAAATATTCTACTACAGTAGATCAGACAGATGTTGAATGGCAAGAATGAAAACGTTTTTTTATAGAGTACGTGAATATTTTAATCAGTTTTAGTTCTGATAAATATCTGTTAAAATCCAGCTCCTTTCTAAAGGCCTAGAAGTTTTCTTGTACATTAATCAGAAAACCAAGGAAAAGGCTATGGTACAAAACAATATTAAAACCTATGAATATCTCATAGAATTCAAGTGTAGAACAGCTTTTAAAGACATTGCCATCGATCTTAACAGCTTAGGGAAGAATAGCATTGATCAGACAGTCTCAATAGAGTTGCATGGTAACACTAGAGAAGGTGCAAAGATCGATGTCCGAGGTGGGAGAATCTGTAACTGGGCTATTAGCTTATTACTTATACACTTCATAAAATCTATCCTCCATGGAAGGCTGGTTAAAATAAAGCTATAGTTAAAGGAATCAATTATATTCTGTTTGTCGTATGCAAACATTAAAAGGCTAAATAGGGGACAATACAATAATGCACAAGCTGCTCTGACAGGATGAGACAAAAGAAGAGAATCTTGGCTCAATTGCAAAAATCTCCATGTGACTTGCCATGGTGGAAATGGTGCTAGATGCTGTGGGGATTCCTTTCTTCAGCAAAGACATGTAAACTGGTGTGCAAGGAAACAATGTAAATAAATTTGGCGCAAACCTAGAAAGAAATCCTGTCAAAGCATGTACAACACAACTGTAGAGGAGGTTGTTCTTCCAGTATAACAGCATTTCCTCATACAGAGAGAGTCCAAGTGGATTAAAAAAATTAGATCTGTTTAAATGGTCCAGTCAAAGTCCAGAGAAAATATGGAAATGAATATTAGAAAAAGCTCCAAAGACTCTCTTAATCCAATCCGAAATAGCTTAAAAAGGAATAAGCCTTTAGGACTGAAAAGGTCATACCTGAAAAAGTCCATAAAGAAACTTTTGCCTTACCGTTTGTAAGAAATTAGCCTATATGAGCTGCAGCACTTGGGTAATATTTAAGAACTGTTTTAAGATCTTTTTGAACTCCTCGTACAGGTAATTTTTTCACCAATTGGAATGCATAAATTGCATTTTTAAAATTAGATTCAGTGCACCATCTAACACTGTCTCCCACAAAAAGTAATTTAATTCCTCCAAATTAGTCACACAGTCGAGAAATTTTTAGGCTAATTTGTGTCTCACAAATGCGATGCCCTAAAAGCATACAATGAAACTATATACTGTGAAACATAGTGACTAGGTACGAGGGTACTGAGGTTCTTCTGTAGATGGCCAGTTCCCCCTGGGCAGTTCAGCTACCATTTGATGGAGAAGATAGCTATTTTCAGCTCAGGAAGTTTAACCTACTTATCTCCTCTCCCTGAGACTTCCCCTCACTTCTCTCCCACCCATCCAGCTGTACCACCCTTAGTTTCTCTCTCTCCTTCTGTATGTCACCCATTCTCTTCTCCATTTCCTTTACATGTTTTTTCCTCAATACTTCATCAACATGTCTTTCACATCAGTGCACTTGTTAATACAGCCTCTAGAGGAAGTTTCTTAAATCCATTGTCTGGCAGCCTCTTTGCATACGCATCACACAGTCTTTGAGGAGAATTTTGAGTCTCAACAACAGAAAATGTTATGAATCTGATGAAAACAGCTACTGTAAATGCAAGAAGTGTTAGGGGTAATTAAAATGCCTTTGAAAAACAATAATTAATGGACACAATCTCACTTGATAAAGCATACTATTTCCCTGGGGAATGAAGACTGTATAACGTATTTACCAATTTTACCTATTATCTCTTTAAACTGAGAAGAAAAATATAAATATCAATCATTCTTGGAATACACGATATCCTCTATTAAGAAATGGCTACAAAAAACAACATTAATCATGTTTATTACTTAAATTATCCCAAATCAGTCAGAAAGTTCAAAAGCTGGAACAGCAACATACGAGACTAGAGGAAGTTTTACATTTATGTTACAATCATAGACAGTGATGATATTCTTAAAAATGGTACAACAGTTCTCCAAAGTTAAACACTATCTTTTTTTTTTTTTTTTTTTTTTATGTTGCCAGAAAAACAGGGATTTTCAAAGTATGCTTTGGTAGAACTATACAAAGACCGTACTTTTTAATCAAATACAATTTAGAAGAATTTTGTCTTAGTATGGCTTAGTATGCAAAAAAACATTTAGTAATGTCAAATGTTAAGTATGGAGGAAGATTTTTGATGCTACAGGCCTTTTTCTTTTCCACATACCAAAACTTTTACAGTAACTTCTGTTGTGTTTAAGGCTGCTTGGTGGGTAGCACTGCTGCCTTGTAGCAAGAAGGTTCAGGGTTTGATTCCCCGCCCTGATTCTTTATGCATGGAGTGTACATGTTCTCCCTATGTATGAGAGG